CTCCACTGCCTCCCAGCCCGGGGCCCTAGCAGCGGCCGAAGACCCACTGCTGTGTCAGTGGGGATCCTGACCGCAACACACTGACATTGGCTTTGGCGGTGCTGCAGCCAGACTCGGGTCGGCTGCCCCCGGGCTACTTCCGACCTCCCCTCTAGAGGTACCTGGGTCCGGACGGCATCCTCCATGGGGTCACACACCATGGGCTCCTTGGGGTAGCTGGCAAGCGGTAGGCCTGGCAGTTCCTCGGGGTAATGGGCGAGCGGTAAGCTTGGTAGTTTCTCTGGGTAGCTTGCCACAGGCAGGCTTAACAGCTTCCCCGGGGTCTGGTCAGCATCAGTCCTCGGCTGGTCTCGCCAGTCCTCGAGTCGGTCGCAGATTGCAGGAGTCTCCCCACCGGGAGCTAGGCCACAGACGTCTGGCTTCTCCGGCGGCCGGGCCTCTAGTGAGCTCTGGGGTTGGGCTTTTATACTTCCTGTCCTGTGCCTTGACCTCTGGGGGGCGGGCGCAAGCTCCACTGGCTCTGCCCACTTTGGCGTCCGGAGAGGTTTGTCCCTCTCCAGGGCAGCGGGGAACCAGACCACCTCGCTACAGACCCCAGATCCCTTTCCGCAGTGCTCCTTCCTAGGCAGTCATTTCCCATTTTGTATGTGTGCAACTGATTGTTCCTTCCTAAGTGGAGTTTTTTGCATTTGTCCTTTTGGGATTTCATCCTATTTACTTCAGACCATCTCTCCAGTTTGTCCAGATCATTTTGAATTTTAATCCGATCCTCCAAAGCACTTGCAACCCCTTCAAGTTTGGTATCATCCGCAAACTTTATAAGTCAACTCTCTAAGCCCTTATCTAAATCATTGATGAAGATATTGAACAGAACCGGACCCAGAACCGATCCCTGCGGGACCCCACTCGTTATGCCCTTCCAGCATGACTGTGAACCACTGGGAACGATTTTCCAACCAGTTATGCCCCCATCTTGTAGTAGCTCCATCCAGGTTGTATTTCCCTAGTTTGTTTATCATAAAGTCATGCGAGACAATATCAAAAGCCTCACTAAAGTCAAGATATACCACATCTGCCGCTTCCCCCCATTCACAAGGTTTGTTATCCTGTCAAAGAAAGCTATCAGGTTGGTTTGACATGATTTGTTCTTGACAAATCCATGCTGACTGTTATTTATCACCTTATTATCTTCTAGATGTTTGCAAATGGATTGCTTAATTATTTGCTCCATTATCTTTCCGGGGACAGAAGTTAAGCTGACTGGTCTGTAATTCCCCGGGTTGTCCTTATTTCCCTTTTTACAGATGGGCACTAGATTTGCCCTTTTCCAGTCTTGTAGAATGTCTCCCGTCTTCCATGACTTTCAAAGATAATTGCTAATGGCTCAGATATTTCCTCAGTCAGCTCCTTGAGTATTCTATGATGCATTTCATCAGGCCCTGGTGATTTGAAGACATCTAACTTGTCAAAGTAATTTTTGACTTGTTCTTTCCCTATTTTAGACTCCATCCTACCTCATTTTCACTGGCATTCACTATGTTACACGTCCAATCGCCAACCTTCTTGGTGAAAACCGAAACAAAGAAGTCATTGAGCACCTCACCATTTCCACATTTTCTGTTGTTGTCTTTCCCACCTCACTGAGTAATGGGCCTACTCTGTCCTTGGTCTTTCTCTTGCTTCTAATGTATTTGTAGAATGTTTTCTTGTTTCCTTTTATGTCCCTAGATGGTTTGATCTCGTTTTGTGCCTTGGCTTTTCTAATTTTGTCCCTACATACTTCTGTTATTTGTTTATATTCATCCTTTGTAATGTGACCGAGTTTCCACTTTTTGTAGGAATCCTTTTTGAGTTTTAGATCATCGAAGATCTCCTGGTTAAGCCAGGCTGGTCTCTTGCCATAGTTCCTATCTTTCCTATGCAGCGGGATAGTTTGCTCTTGTGCCCTTAATAATGTCTCTTTGAAAAACAGCCAACTCGCTTCTATTGTTCTTCCCCTTAGACTTGCTTCCCATGGGATTTTACTGACCAACTCCCTGAGCTGGTGATTCTGGCCCTCTTCATTTATTGTTCCCTGGGACAGTCCAGCACGGTCTCACTCTTGAAGACATGGGGTGAAATCTTGGCCCCATTGACGTCAATGGCAAAACTCTTGGTAATTTCAGTGGGGCCTTGATCATTCTTCATTGTTCTGAAGGGGAAAAAAATAGTTTCTTGCCAAATTGACATCAGAATGCGGAGACTCTGCCAAAGGGGTGTGAAACGCCAGCCTGCGAGTTCATAGCCCAGTGGAAGTATTCAGAAAGGAGCAGTGTGAAATCGCCAGAAGAGACCGGAGTCTCTACTGGGGGTCTTCAGCATGATCGCTCCTCCCTGCTTAAATACAATGGAAGAGTCCTTCAGACCCAGAGAAAAGAGGGAACCAGGCAACGCCTTCTATTACAGACCTGGCCACTCATCTGGATCATCCTGAATTATGGACCTTGGAGAACAAGATCCACCTGGCGGGGGTAGCAGTGGGAGGGACAGAGTGGAGAATATAAGAGAAACCACTCCAGCAGGTGTTACTCCAGCTGCCAAGGGTTTCCCAAGCCCAGAGGAGGTGAGTGCTTTACAAAAGAGAATGCCCTCTAGTAGGCCTTGCTACAGGGACTTAATTTACCTGGGAAGTGGTTGGGTATTATGATGATTGGTGCTATAGATATTATTTACTGATCTTTTTCTTGCATTATGGGATCAAGCAGCGGATGCCCATTCTGACAAGTTTGAGCTTCTGCTTGTGTGTCATTGTGGGTTATTCCTTCTCACTGGTAACCAGACAGGAGAACAGACAACCGGGTCTCTGTACATGGGACAGACTTCCTATCCTTCGCTGCAGCTGAGATTGGCTTTGGGACCCCAGGGTTCACTAAAGCATGTCTACACTGCAGCTGGGGGGGGGGGGGTAAGTTTCCAGCTCAGGTAGACACACCTGTGCTAGCTAGATCACTAAAAATAGTAGGGCAGTGAAACAGGCTAGGTGCCCAAGCTACGTACCTAGGGTCTCAGACAGGATTGTACTTGAGGCAGCTAATCGGTCCCACCTTCCGTGCAGCTGCGGCTAGATGGTTATTTTTAGCATGCTCGCTCAATCAGCCTGGGTACGTCTGCACACCCTGAAAATTACACCTACAACTCCACTGTAAACACCCCCTATGTGATCGCTCCCCTCTGCCTGAGCGGGAAGGAGCAGGGCTCAGCTTATCTCACTTGCAGGTTGGCTTATTTACGATCCGCTCCTCCCTAAAAGTGACTTGAGAAGGACAGAGAGACCATCTAGCTGAGTACACTCCGACATCTACATGGAGTGGGAAAGAGGTCATGACCCTTGCTCCCCTTATCTTCCATGTCCCCTAATATTACAGGGGAACTCAGCTAAAGAAGTAAAAGAACATTAGACTCATGGGGTGACGTCCTGACTCCACACATCAATGGGAGTTTTGCCTTTGATCCCAACAGGGCTGGGGTTTCACCCATGGCGAGACAGATCCTGAGTAGTGGCTGTGAATGGCATGCTAGTGAAATACCAGTTAGAGGCGGGCAGGGAGCGGGGAAATGCAGGGTCAAATTGTGCCAGATTCTAAGAGGGGCATCAGCCTCCGGAATTTCAGCACTGACGTGACTTTAGCTCTCTGCTGGCCTGTACAATGTCTCCAGTAGAAGGAGAGGCAGAAAGTGCCGGTGCCAACAGATCACGTCTTTGTAAGAGATCATCCGCTGTATCTCCTTACTGTCCCAGGCAGGGCTTTGACTCATCGTGACGAGTGGGTTCGTGCTCCAGAAGTTTGGACTTGCCTCTATCCTCTCAGCAGCTTCCTGTGTAGCAGCCAGCTATCCAAAGCCTGCCTGCTAACTGGAGCAGATCCAGAGATCAATACCACTGAGTTGCTTGCTTGAGTGAAAGATCCGGGTGTTTCCGCTCCCAGGTCCGGCACAAAGATGAAGAATCTCTTTGTGGTCACCTTGCTAATCGCCTGCAGTGAGTACAGCAAACTGGTGACGCCCTAGCTGACGCTAATTATGTGATCGCCTCTGCCCTGTAACCCCCTCAGAGCAGAATCCCCAGCATCAGGGCAGTGCAAGTGAGGGTCAATGCCTGGCCCACCTGGCCGCAGCTTGGGGTCTGGACGTCGGGTTTACTCAGCCCTTACCTGAGGTCACTGGGAGCTTTACCCAAGCGAGGCATATCAAAGCTTCAGGCCCCAGCTCATGCATGGCTACACACATCTCTGTGTAAGGGCAGGGGAGAGCAGGGCCGGTGCAACCCATTAGGTGACCTAGGTGGTTGCCTAGGGCACTAACATTTGGGGGGCGGCGACCGCGGCGGCCGGATCTTCGGCCGCCCCGTTCATCGGCGGTATTTCGGGGGCGGGACCTTCCGCCGCCTAGGGCGGCAAAAAAGCTGGCGGCGCTCCTGGGGGAGAGGGTAAGGTGTTCGCCTTGCCCCTTGCATTGCTGCACAGGGGCCTCTTGCAATACAAGTCCCCACACTCCAGGGAAGGGCTGTGCATTCCCGCTCTCCCACAGGAGAGTAAGCTGGAGAAAGGGGGCAGGGAGAAATTGGTGCCGGTCCCCAGAGCAAGAGCAGTGCAATTGTGGGAAGCGTCTATGCCGGTCTAAAGGCTGGAATGAGGATTGTGCATCCCCTTTGCAAGGAACACACCACTAGGGGGCACAAGCTCTCTGGTGCCCCGTGTAGAGCAACGCAGCGCCACAGCGCCCCCTAGCAAAGGGCTATGGCATTAGAGCCACATGCTAACCCCCAGTATTCAGCTCAGCGTTCTTTCACCAATGCAGTGTGCTTCCCATGTGCACTAACAACAGGAGAGGGGAAAGTGATCTTTCCTTTAGAGGAAACCATCCTTCCTAGTGCTCTTGCTGGTTTGCAGGTCTGTCTGGAACACAGGGGAGCCTTCTGGAGTTTCGAAAGATGATTAATCAAGCCACGAGAAAAAGCGCCATCCTCAGTTATTATGGGTACGGCTGCTACTGCGGGTCTGATGGCAGAGGGGAGCCAAAGGATGCGACAGATTGGTAAATTGCCACTAGATTTTTTTTAAAATATATCATTCCTCAAGCACCACTGTAATCCCATGGGACTGGTCAAATGCACCTTTGCAAAACACCCGCCAAAAAAAACCACTCACCTAGTCAAGCCCCAAGATTCATAAAGGGAAAAGTCCCCCAGGGCCTGTCATGGTGAGAGAAGGGGCTGGTGCTTAAATATCCCTATAAAGTGCAGTAGAGTTTACTATCAAGGGTCCTTTGCAGGAGACCGACTGGATGGAAAGTCTCTTAAGATGCTCACTGGCTTCTGCAGAAAGCTCAGTTTCTACCAGCTACTCACCAGGGCATTTCTGATCTTTAGTTATAGATCCTCAGATATGGCCGTGATTCCGACATGAACAAATACATGTATTAGTGGGAATGTACCGGATAGGAACCGTAAATCCAACAAATGCTTAGACAATGGCCACACATGCTTGCCTAGAAAAGATCGGCTATACTGGAGGATAGTCTCTTTCATTGTAAGCAGACCTTTGACGTGTACCTTTGCTCTTCCTTCTCCCCGGAGGTGCTGCCGAGCTCATCACTGCTGTTATAAAAGGCTAAAAGCTAATGGATGTTATGGGAAGAGACAGCGATATAGTTACACCTACAAGGACGGGGACATTCTGTGTGGTGAGTTCTCTCTCCTGGGTCAGGTTGGGACGTGCTTTGCTTCTACTCTCTAATCAGCACACTGGTCTGGTTCTTCGCCTTTCTCGCTCTGTGTCCTCCTTCCAAAGGGCCAAACGTTATCATTGATCCAGAAGAGAAGGGTTCGAAGGGGAGGGCAGCACCAGGGTCCCTGGAAGGACTCTGGCTCTCTCCCCTTGTGTCATGGACCCAAGAAGTGAATTAATGGCCCATAAGTATTGGAGTTGCCACACCTTGATTCCTTGAAAGCCTGGTCCAGCTCCTGACCCAATGACTTCGGCCCCTCGGCCCGCTGATATAGGTTTGAGCACTGGCCTGCTAAACCCAAGGTTGTGAGTTCAATCCTTGAGGGGGCCATTTAGGGATCTGGGGCAAAAATCTGTCTGGGGATTGGTCCTGCTTTGAGCAGGGGGTTGGACTAGTGACCTCCTGAGGTCCCTTCCAACCCTGATAGTCTATGATTCTAGGTAAATTGGGGTCCATGCAGCTGACTGTAAGGGGGTGTTAGGAGCTCACGTTTTAAGATCTCATCCAATCAAATGTAACCTATCACCAGTGTGAGTGAGGACGCCTGTAGCAGTACTTCATACCCGCTTTGCACTCACACAGCCGGAGTGTAAGTGACTCCACAGGGCCAGCGGGAAGTCAGGCCCTGAGAATTAGTCACCTTCCTCCTCGTCGCAGCGATTGTTCCATGAAAAGCGTGCGTCTCTCTCTCTCTCTGTCTTGGCAGCTTTGGGAAGCTGGTGCGAAGAACAGGTCTGTGACTGTGACAAGAGCACTGCTCTCTGCCTGGAAAGGAACCTGAAGACGTTCAACAGCCGCTACGTTCGTTACCGAGACAACAAGTGCACGGGATTCACACCCAGGTGCTAGGGGCCATCCTGTCCCCAGCACATCATTTTACTGACCACCCAGCTGACAAGAGTTTGCACTTGCTGTTTCCCCAGGACCAATGAACCAGGAGCCAGGAGTGGGACTGTAGAATGGACTGTGATCTCTGAGTGCTTTGCTGGAGAGGACAAGAGAAATTCCAGGGAACTGCTTGTAAATAGTCCAGCAGCTCTACCTTAAAGCGGGTCACTAGAGCAGACCAGGCCGGACAAGAACCACATCAGATGGCCGGTAGCCAATATAGGAAGGACGGTTGAGACACTGGACTGGTTCAATTCCTGGCTCTGGCACTGACTTCCTGTATGACCTTGGCCAAGTGCAGATTTTTAAAGGCACTTTGGCACCTAACTCCCATTGGAAACCATAGGAGTTAGGTGCCTAAGTACCTTTATGAAGCTGGGCTGTAATCACTCTCTGCCTCCGTTTGCCCATCTGTAAAATGGGGATAATAGTCCTTTCTTTGCCTGTGTATGTAGAGTGGGGGACTGTCTCTTCCTATGTGTTTGTACAGCACCTAGCATGATAGGGCTTTGATCTCAGTTTGTCCCAAAAGTGCTCCTGGGATATATTGAATACTACAGTACTAAAAATGGTGACAAGGGACCATTTGGTTGAACTGGGATTCTCCTAGGATTACTGGCATAAACTGCCCATTGTTTAATGTTCTGGTTACAGATTCATTTCCTTCACTTTAGTTACTATGCAATTTCCTTTCCTTTACTTCTAAATAAAGGTGAGCAGAACACCTTATTCTGCAGCACGGGACAGTCTGTTGAACTGATCTTTTCCCCCTTTTTATATATATTAGAGCAGAGTTTGTGCAGCACAATGGGGCACAGCTCTGATTGGGTATTGCTGTGAAGGCTAGTGCAATACTAATCACAAAGCAGCCCTCCGGGCCATGACCTGGCCCACTCTTACCTTCAGTTACAAGCATTGTCGGGAACCACTGGAGCCAAGAGACCTCTGGAATGGAAAGCAAAGGGCTGACTGATTTCTACACCTGGCATCAGCGCTCTTCTGTGGAAGCACCTCAGGCAAGGATGGGTGAGGCCACACACAGAGAGTGGTTCAGTTTTTACCCTGGGCAGGTACAAAGAGAAGATACAGCTTAATATTTCCCCCAGACCAGCAGAGAAATGTTCTGGGAACAAACGCCTGTGTCCTTTCTGCCTTCCCATGAGCAGTATCTCTAGCAACAGCAAAGCGACACATACCCGTGCAAAGGTGGAACTGCATGTAGAGAACAGGGGGCTGGGAAATGCATAAGGTTCCTGTGTTTGTGTTCATAAGGATGCACGCTGGAGGCATTCATGCCCATTTTGGGTACCTCAGTGCACACTTTGGCACAGGAATATTTTGCATGCAAAACTCAGGCACTGAAGTTTGAAAATCTGATCCATGGGAACTCATTTTTAGTCACAAAGTCACACACACTGATCCTAGGAGGACAAGGCACCTGTTTTGCAAAACGTTCTGTGACAACAGGCCCGTTGTTGAGACTCAAATTGTGGGGAAAACGTTGACTGCGGGGTAGTTTTGCATTTCACAATGCAGCTCTCACCCCCCATTTAACCCACAGCAAAAACATGAAGGCCCAATTCCTGGGACCTCTAGGGGAGTTAGGTGCCTAACTACCTTTGCAGATCTGGGCCTTAATCCCTACAACAACAGTGTCCAGGAACCCAGACACGCTGCTGCATAACAAATACATTTTGATGAGAACTGTAAATATTTGCCTCTTCCATCTTTCTGTAGTTTAATGAGGAGTGGCACTATGGAATGGCCATATAACCAACAGCAGTAAAGGTGCAGTTAGTCCTGGGCTCTCTTTAAGGTTTAGTGCTTTCTGTAGCTGGACAGTTATTTTCTTCGCTAACCTCTCTCAATTGAAATGAAGCGTTTGCCTGGCATCCCGTTACTTTTCCTGTGCTGTAAGTAAATCCCCGTTCTGTGGCATGTTTTTAACTCTCCTGATTGTCCTGTAAACTCTGACATTGCCTAGAAGCTGTTGTCATAAAAAGCCTTAATGGTTTGCTTGAGACAAAGTAGTGCAATGGTGTGCAAACTGAGGGGGGGTGTGTGCAAGAGATTTGCGGGGGAAACTGGGATCCTGTGGGTGCTGCAGGACCTGCTGCCATAATAGCAGGAGTGGGATGAAAATAGAGTGGGTATTGCATGGCGGGACGGGAGTGGGATTGAAAAAATAGTCCTCCCGCACCGCAAACAACACCACCACCCTGGCCAGCAGCTGCCGCTCTCCAGCTGCCCAGCTCTGAAGGCAGTCCCGCCGCCAGCAGCAGCACAGAAGTGAGGGTTTACTTCAGATTACAAGTAATGGGCAGGCGGGTGCAACGAATGCCGCGAATGGTAAGGGGGGGGGACGTGACTGGAAAAGTTTGCACACCGCTGGTCCAGGGGCTGGGGCCCTGGGCTGGAGCCGTAGAGAACTGGGTTCTAGTGCTGACTCTGCCACTGACTGTTGTCCTGTGCCGCTGGTTCTCCCATGTCTGTCTTGTCTCCTTAGCTTGGGAGCTATCCAGGGAAGATGCTGTGTACGTACAGAGTGCAGCACAACCGGGGCGCCAGCTTTAGGCACAATTAACTTTATCTGTATCAGGTCAGGAAATGGTTCTCCTCTCTGGCACTCCCTTCATTCTGCGGAGGACACTGCAGCCCTGGACTAGCTGGTGTGGAAAGGACCCGCAGTAAATAGGAGAGACACAGGGGAGCTGTGGGTGAGATTCATGATTAGAGCCCGGCGTTCTGAGGGGATGGAGCTCCCCCTACACCTGCCTACAGAAGGATCAGAGAGCCAGGAGTGGCTGCAGTAGGATTGACCTGGGAGGCTGGGAGTGTTTTTCCCTGATGTCCCTTTAGACACAGTTTAATTATCCCCAGCTCTTTGGTTGCAGGCCTGCCCTTGGCGTGCAGTAACCTGATTCAGTTTGCGGACATGATTAAGCAGATGACTGGGAAAAACGCCTTTCTGAATTACAATGGTTACGGATGCTATTGTGGACTGGGAGGATCCAAACAGCCACTAGATGAGACCGACTGGTAAGTCAGAGCACAGGCACTAAGGGCACTGGGAAGTGCTACCATCGTTCAGCGCCCCCGCTGCCCTCCTCCCCT